AGGTAACCGGGAGCATGAGCAGCGAGGCGAGCGTCGAGCTTGAAGCCGCTTTTATCGTAGAGCGCTGCCACGCGTGGCCTTCCCGGTAGGCTGCAGGCTCGGGACCGCAGTGTCTGCGAGGCAGCTGTGCCGCCACACAGCCCCAGCGGCCGTCACCTCCGGGCTGGGAAGAGGGTCCTGCTCAGCCTCCCTCTGCCACAGAGGATGCAGAAGGCACGGCCATGGAAAGGAAACCGCACTTTGTTAGGAGGGAGTTTCTTCCCAGGGAGGTGTCCTCCATCTCATTGACGTTACTGCTTGTGGCTGTCCTGCTCTTTAATGCCCTTCTCTACCTGTACCTCAACAAGTTTTACAGCTCTTCGGGACGTGGCGAAACAGACCCCAGCCTCTGCCCTTTTGGGTACTTCAAATTGGGAACGGTGAAGAATTGTTCCCCGTGGCTCTCCTGTGAAGCCATAAATAGGGAAGTCAGGAAGCTCAAGCGTGTTGGTGAAGGCGCTGTGAAAAAGGTGAGTATAGTTTTCCTTTCTTCTGTAGTGTGAATGAACAGCTTTCATTGTTTGCTGGCTAATTAATGCCTGCACTGCTGTTATAATTATCCTCACAACAACTGACTATTGTAGACAAATGGCTACTAGTAAGGTGCAAAGAACATGCAGGAGAGCATGACCGGAGTCCTGGTCCACCTCCCTGACACCGAATGACATCCAGCTACACAAGCAAATCGGAGATGGGATGAGTGTGGTACAGTTGTGGCAGAGTAAGACGGGTTGGTTGGGTGGTGTGAAATAATTCAATTCATCTGCGTTGCCCATTCCAAAGACAGCTTAGGAAATCGTGATGTAATTACGACGTCCACTGATACGGGCTTGCTGTGGCAGGTACACTGCCTTACCGAAAGGCTTGGCTGTGCCTGGTGACTGGTTTGCAGTTGTGACTAAGCAGTCACTCAAAGGTCAACTGGTGGAAGAAGGCTCTCCACATCTCTTATGTGTCTCTTGTGTGTTCTCAGGTCTTTCTTTCTGAGTGGAAGGAAAACAAAGTGGTCCTTTCACAGCTCACCAACCCGGAGCTGAAGGAGGACTTTCTCCATGGACTGAAGATGCTGAAAGCACTTCAAAGCAAGCACGTTGTCCGGCTGCTTGGCTACTGCGAGCAGCAGTTCACAATCCTCACTGAATATCACCCTCTAGGGTCCCTAAGGGGCCTGAATGAAACTCTTCACATCCCCAGGTATAAGGGGATGAACACCTGGCATCGCAGGCTGATGCTTGCTATAGACTACGTGAGCATCATTCGGTACCTGCACAGCAGCCCTCTGGGCACGTTAGTGATGTGTGACTCAAATGACCTGGACAAGGTCCTCTCTCAGTATCTCCTAACAAGTGACTTTCACGTCTTGGTGAATGATTTGGACGCTTTGCCTCTTGTGAACAGGAGTGCTGGCAGGCTGGTGAAGTGTGGTCATCGGGAGCTCCGGGGAGACTTTGTAGCTCCTGAGCAGCATTGGCCCTATGGAGAAGAGGTGCCATTTGAGGATGACCTCATGCCGCCCTACGATGAGAAAACAGACATCTGGAAAATCCCGGATGTCTCCAATTTCTTCTTGGGCCACGTTGAAGGAAGTGACATTGTGCGACTGCATTTGTTTGACATCCATGCAGCATGTAAGAAGAAGAACCCAGCTGAAAGGCCTTCTGCCCAAGAGGTCTTAGACACCTACAGGAAGGTTTTAACTCTGCTTATTCGGGAGACAGCCATGCCTGGTATTAGGGAAATGTTATAGTGAATCATGAGACGAACAATGTACTGAAGTAGATGTCCTTCCTATTTATGTAGCTTGCCTGAAGGGCAAAATCTCTGTCCCCAAAACTAAGAAGAAAAGAACAACTGAACTTGTACCTTTTGATTTAAAAAGTAATAAACCAGCCAGTGCTGGAGCACTGTAAGCTTCCCATTGACCTGTTTAATCTATCATTGGAGAGGAGGAGGGAGAGAAATTAAATTGTGTGGGAGTGGGGGGAAATTTGTTCCTTAAAAAATAATAAATTTTCTTTTGCAACATTTACATAAAAACTCTTTAAAAAAAACCCAGGAAAAGAGTTAGAAAAAGTACTGGTCCACTTAAACAGCTTGGCAGAGAAGTGGAGAGCGGAGACCATGGCATGCCCCACACAAGCCTTGTGCTGATTCCTGTGGCTTTGGCCCATGTCTTTACCCATAAAGCACTCACCCACTTCCCCATGGAGTAAGAGCAGTGGTCACTCACAAGAGGGTACCTCAGTTCACTTCAGATTTTAGTGAACCCCAAGGCCAGAGCCCCAGCAGCAGTCTCTCCCTGCCGGATGGAGAATAGGTTGTTTTTTGGAGCTGTACAGCTATTGCTCTCTGGGCCCCATATCCCACACCAGCAAGCATGTGGCCACTTTGTAAGCCAGCAGATGATGCAGATCCTGAAGAGACTGCTTACAGGCACGTGCTCTTGGTTTTTAAGCCTTTGCCCGTGGCTCTTTGGGCTCTTTGGAGATGAAGCTGTAAAACACAGCTTTAATCCACAGAAATCCTGAGCACTTTGGAAGAGAGCTGAAGCGTGTCTTCTTTTCATTCACTTATCCTTGCTGATTGTCATCATGACTTGATCGAAGGCAGGGAGAACAAGGAACTGGAAGAGAATGTAACTTCTTTCTAAAGCAATGGGCATTAAACATGTGCTTTGAAACAGACCTATATTCAGAGCATACAACTCTGTTAGGTCTGAAGTGAAAGCCTGTTCAGCATAGAGAAAGGCTGCTTCAGTGTGTTTAGGAGAAAGCTTTTGGTACCTACATATATGTTACAGTCTGGTACCAACAGCTGGAGAGGAAGAATAACAATGCCTTAACCGAGCAGTAGGCTCTGTTTGGTGGGATTGGGATGTACTTGTTCTCTTGGTGAAAAAAACAGTACTACGAATGAGACATAGACTCTTAACTTTACACACCTGAGGACTTTCTGTTCTGCAGACTAGGTGTCTGAAAGACCTAAGTGCTTGAGACAATGTTCATGTTTTGACTCGAGAGGTGTTTTGTAAGCAGACAAGTACATGGAGAGTTTGAATCTGTTTTTTGCTGTGCTGGTATTTCTTTTCACCTAAACAAGCCATGTTAAGACTGCACTGAGAACATGCAGTCAGTTTGGATACATAATGTTCAATTGATGCTACCAAAATTTAATTATGAACAGGAAAACTTCCCTGCAAATGGCGACATTTATACCTGTTTTCATACAATGCCAGGAAGAGCCCCTTAAAGCCTCCTTGTTATGGTTTACCTTTCCCTCTGGGCAGTCTATTTTCCCTGGCAGTGTTCAAGGCCAGGTTGGATGGGGCTTTGAGCAACCTGGTTTAACGGAAGGTGTTCCTGCCCATGGCACGGGGTTGGAACTGAATGATCTTTAAGGTCCCTTCCAACCCAAACCATTCTGTGATTCTATGACAGACAAGAACTTGCCAAGCTTCCTGTGCTGGTCTCTCTCAGTTAAGACAAGATTCTGCTTGGATTCTTGCTCCATTGTGTACTGTTGCACCTTGCAAACAGCCATATTAATTTCACAGAGCGAAAAGAAAATGAGGGTATATTCTGGTTCTGAATAATTTTCTTGCCTTGGAGATGTCTCTCTCTCTCTGTGCCTGGATGAAATAGTTACAATTATTCAAAAGAAAAGGTGTCTCCCTAAGCATTCACCCTGAGCATTGGGTCCTTTGCATGTCTCTTCCCCATTCCCTCTCCTTCAGCTTGTGTTCAGCGTTTTATTTCCGCAGGAATAAGTTAAATTTGTTCTGAATAGAGCATTATGGAGCTCCAAAGCTTCGTTTCTGGGACGTTGTTTCTGACTATGAGGAAACACTAGATGGCAGCATGAAGGTCAGACTAGCATTAGCTGTTGGCAGTTGCAGGCTCTTGTGCCCAAACATACCCGTGGTCCGGCCTTGGAGCCAGTATTTGGCTAGCAAACTTCCATAACCCCCTGAAAGATCTCATTGTGTTTGAGTATCTAGTAACAAGACAGATAAATATAAGAGCTGTCAGAAAAGCCATACATGAAAGTTTAAGGGGTTACCTCCCCCTTAACTTGCTCATGGTATTTGTGTAGTTTAGTATCCCTTCTAATCTCAGCCTGGTGCAACCTCAACCAAGTTTGAGTGTCACCTCCTTTCAGCCTTTCAGTAAAATCAGAGGAATTTGTGATCTCTGCATCTTTCTGTCCTTCCCTACTAACCCATTCCACAACTCAAGATTGCATGAATCCCATCCTTCCTGCATTTCCAGCTTCTTTTCCCTTAAAGGGAAAAGGCAAGGCCTCATGAAGAGGGGAAAAAGAGGCAGGACAGCCCTACACACAGTTGCTTCTCCTCTTTGCAGTTGTCTCTGCTGGGCATTCCAGTTTTCACAACCAACAGCCTTGGATAAACATATGGGGGCTTTGCTTCCTCAGTAGAAGCAGCTTTTACATGCCTGGTGGAAAACATGGAAGGAGAAGGGCATGATGAGGCCTGTTCTTAGCTGGAAGCCTGCAATCCTCTCTCATCCGCTCTCAATCCAGCTTTAGACAGGTGGACATGACCTCCCTTGCCAAGACCACTGCCACAGCTCTGCTTAACCTCAACAACAGCTACTGGTTCTCATCTCAAGCAAAAAATCAAGAGCCCCACACTCCCTTGTCCTTTCCCATGCTTCTCCTGTGATAGTTATTGACAAGTTTCCTAATGTATCCCTGTTTCTCCATCCTGAAAGTCCAGCCAAAGAAGCTGCACAAAGACAGAGGCCACACAAGTAGAAGGACTACTGCTGGTGTCCATCTCCTTCAGAAAACTTCAGGGGAGGTTCCCCTAACCACCCGAGGTGGTCAGCATGAAGGCAGATATGGCCCCAGTGGTTGCAGGACCTTTGTTTGGTGCTATCACCAAGATGAAGGCCTTGGGTATGGCCTCTTGCTCAGGGACAGGATAACCCTTTTGCTGAGGTCAGTGATCTGCACCACTTTGCCCTTCCCTTTTGGGCAATGCCTCCTCTGCCACCCCTGCAATAGTCCCACAGCACATCTTGCCCACCATCTGACCAGCTAGACAAAGAAACAAAGCAGAGACTATCTATCTCCCAGACTCAAGAAACAACACCTGGTTCCCAGACTGAACTCCCCTGGGATACTGCTGTGCCAGCAGTGGAGGAAACAGAGAGACCTAGGACATGCCAGCTGAGCCTGCTGGCAGTCTGGATGTGTGTGCCAACTTTGTCAGGGCACCTGAACCCACTACTGGTACGGTATGCTCTTCCCTTGGTCCGATGCTGTTGCCAAAACATATTCCCCGTGGATTTCCCAATAAAGTTTAGCCCTTTACCAGGTAGGTTTGTACCACAGGATACAGAATGGAAACAGCCTGTCTCAGAGCAGAGCCCCAGATTTAGTGCAAACCCACTGCTTCTTTCTTTTCCTGAGTTATCCAAAGAATAGCACTGTTACAGTTATGCTGTTTTGATGTCCAAACTGCCTGCTGGCTACAGGCTACTAGACAGATCAAATCTGATGTGATTCCCTTCGTGTGCCATGGGTTTCAGATTATATCCTGAAAGCACTCCTGTAATGCTAAATCTTGTACAGGTGAGCAGCTTTTATAGCAACTCATCTGTATGTTCAACACCATCAGAGGTCAGAAGTATTTATTGCATGCGTATCCACTCCAGCTGCTCTGAAGGTTGGGGTAAGTGCTGAGGAAATAAAATGGACACAACCTATTTACTTGAACAGTTGTTTCTTTTTGGAAGGACACTTTAAAAGTCTGTGTTACTCCGTATATAATAGAGTGGTACCTATTAAGTCTATCAGAAGTTTGGAGCACCACACAAAGTTTCTGAAATCCTATCACAAGCTCTGAACCAATATTTTCCTTTGGTGCCACATAAACAAAACATCAGACCATTATCTTTGCGAAACAGTGGCAGTGCTGTTTGCCAGATATAATTTGTGAGATTTTTGGCAGAATTTGCAACTGTAAACTGATTCTATCATTATGACTATAATGTCTTACCAACAGTCAAGAGACCATGGGAACAAGAAAAAAGTGGTTCTCGAGTTCTTCTAGCATGATATAATGCATATATTTGTAGAGTTCATCCAAGTTAATTATATGGTAGATGGTACTTTTAAAAAAGAAAAAGGATATTATGGTTTTATTTTAATTGGAATACTGTATACTTGAGATGACCACGTGAGTTCCAATAATTGTCAGTCTGTGTTCTGAAGTCTACAATCCAGCATTTATCAGGATTAAATTGTGAATATATTTACAGTACAGTGATATTTGTGTCTCAGCAATTTCTGATTCTGTTTAGCTCTTGGTAATTCCAAATCCATTAAAAATGACATATTTATATATAGAAACACACACAGATTCTTTGGCCATAATATTCAGAACAAGCTTACTGTTACATTCCAGCATTCACATTTTGGATATGAAGCAACTGGATTTTCAAAACTGATAATATTCAGCAGCTTTCAGTCAAATTTGTAGTAGTTGCTGGATGCTAAGGACCTTCAGAAAGGGAATTATTTCCTTGTAGAGTTGGAAGACTCTTTTCAGCAATTCTGTTGATAAATCTATGGGATTGAAGTGGATGCTTTTATCAAGCACACACTAGATTTCTTTGTGGAATGAATAAAGTACCCACTTTTGCAAAAAGCTGTGATTTTTTTTTACATATATATAATTCTTATTAAATCACACAGCTATGTTTTTTTCTCCCCAAGAGC